GTCGTGCCGCGCGCGGTCTCACGCTCCTCATGTTGCCATTAGGCAAAAGCACAAGCCTTTACCGCGAGATCAGCTGCATGTGGCCGCTTGCCACGCGCAGCGAACAGGCATGCGTGTGAACTGCGAGCCTGGGGCTGAACCGGACGGCCTGGCCCGGTGATGCCGAGTGCAGCTCAAGCAAATGGACCAAAACAGAGCCCCACCCGCGAAGCCACGGCTTCTCTTCATGGCTCAAGCCGCCCCAAGGCATCTCAGGTGATTTCAGATGTGAGCGTGCAGGATGGTCTCCCACTGCCGCAAATGAGCTCCAGATTGACAAGGCTTGATTCGAGAGTTCTGGTTGCAAATTACAGGCGGATTGGGAATCACATGATCCATTAACGGAAACCACAAGGGGGGGTGGTTTGTACAGTCATCCTGCCAGGGCAAACCATCACGCAAAACCTAGAGGTGGAAATACCTGGTTACCTACTATAGTGGCAACTGGAAGCACTGGAACGGTTACTCCGATTCCTTAAACATGAACTAAGCGAAAGGACCAATAAGTGAACTGGCGCCACTTTCGCGGCAAACAGAAGGTTGACGAACCAAGCAGGTATTTGCAAACAGCTACTGGCCGGACATTGACACATTTACACCTACAAGGAGCTTGTGCCACTCTTCCAAGCTCATAGCATGAGCACCATCTGCGCTTTTGCCTCCGAAGCAACCTCTCCAATGTGGACGCCCTGACATAGCAAACAGCTGCGAAATACACACGTGCCAGGGATTTCTTTGGTCTCACAATCATTCCGAAAGGCACGTGGTGACCGATCTCATTTGTCTGAATATTTTATCAAGTACCAGGAAGTGCCAGAGCACTCTTGAAACAACTCAGCATGTAAGTTCAACGCATTAGGACCATTTGTGAGTTTGTTTGAAGTCAGCCTACTCAATGCAAAGCTCATTGCAGCTCTACCGCATAAATACGCAATGTTGACAAAGAAGAGCCCGATGATGTACGCATGTATTGTTGTACGAGACCACATGGCACTTGGCTTCTCATGGCCCAATCTTTCCAAAAGCATATGCTACTGGCATTCTCCATTCGAGGCTCGAGGTTCCCTGTTGCAACTCCTTTGGGGTAGGATGTGTTCTGGTGCTTGTTGCTTCTCAACGGCAACTCTTTGTTTCTCAAGCACATGGTGGACTGGCAGCCAGCCTGACCCATTTCTTCACCAATGATCTTTCCGGCGAATTGAGTCTACTGGGGACATGCCCTTCAGTTGAAACACTATGGTTGAAGCTCTGGATCATTGAAGCCGCCCAGTTGCTCAAAGACATCAAGGTAGCGAGCACGCACAGACCATCGCTGGCCCGTTACCAGGTCCGCTCAAACCTAAAACACCCGTCGCCCAGCCTTCAAAAAGCGCGAAGGTTTCCTAGATTGAAATGAATCCCTCGAGCCCTGTCAAACAAACACCAATGAGACATGATTCGAAACAGGTTTCTATCTTGCCGTTCAAAAACATATCCACCCGGGTCCATCCTCGAGGAAACTTGAGAAAGGATGAGCCCCCCCACAGGTGGAGGGAGCTCCCAACTCCGCAGGGGATTCCTGCGGAGAAGTTCTCAGCTCAAATGCAAAAGTGGACCGTTCTGCTAGCGCTTGGATCAAAGTTTTGGTCTAGTTTTGCCACCTATTTGGTTTGGGGTCCTATACCTTCCAGAGGAAAGCATTGCCACTTTGGGTGTGCTTTTCGGACATATGGTCCAACACGGACGCCTTGCCACATCTAGGAAACCATCTACAAATCGCAACAGGGGAACACTTCTGAACGCCAAAGCCCTATAACTGGCTCCCATTCGTCCTCCGTTGCTCGCTTTGGTAAATGTAGCCCGAGGAGTTCCATTTTGGTTGTTCCATGGAATAAGAACTGGGTTGGTCCATTAGTTGGTTTCTCGGCACATCAAAGGAACACATCCAACCAGGTTTACTAGTCCTGGGTTTGGGACCACCTTGATTGTCGGAACGCCTGGGATAAGAAACTGAGCGGTTTGCCCAGCGAAACCAAAAAACAGAGAAACCTAAGTTTCCTGTGCTCCTTGGCAACCATTCAACCTCAAACATGGGATGCAACTATGTTCTGAACATCATACGTTCGTTGGAACATTCCATCATGCCGGTGCACACGTGTATGGAATGCCCCATGCCTCTCCCGTAAGAGTGCCTGATTGCACTCTGGTGCCTTTGATACCCTTTTAGCTCTGGTTGAAGGAGAAACCAAACGGGCAATCGCAATCTTTGGGGTCCCCGGAATTTTACACATACGCATGTTCAAAAGTTGCCACGCGGGTTCTCTTCCCGAAGGCACCACGAAAAACCACGCATGCTTAACCAGCCGATGTTGACTACAAGAGCGCAAGCCGAGCAGTTGGTCAAGAACAGGTCCAAGTATATTTGGGGCCGTCCCTCCGACCAGTGCCACTCTGCTTTTCAAAGTCATAGTCTAAACGTTCG